GAAGCCGATCCTTTGACCAGACTTGTGCTAAACAATTGTGGTATCTCCCCTTCTGCCCTGGCTTATTCGCGTTTCCGGTAGCAACATATCATGCATTTACTATTACAATTTTTACCGTGTTTAGTTAGATAGTGAGGTGGGCTCCTTTGAGCGACATGACACCTTCACACTCCAACTGTCGTTGTCACCCCCTCTTTCATTGTGCAGGGAATGTTGATCAGAGTCTGCTTTATTATTATGCAGTCCTCTTTCCTAGTCTTATCCCAGTCTCTCTTTTGAGAGGCAAGGTTAAGTGAAATCCAATGGCATTGGTACCTTAAGTTACTTAGGATTACTAAGTCGTGATTATGTAATTATTTTATAATTAGTGATAGTTTCTTTGCATAGTAACGTCGAATTATAAATGCAGAGTATCCTCATTCGGCGTGTTTGTGTCTAGGCGAAGAAGCCCCATCGAACCGGAGACCGAGCTAGGCGAATGAATACAAGGACCGAGTCCTCGTTAGGGGAGGCCTGAAGTGTGTCTAGGCTGGAGCATGTCTGATCCGCCCACATAGCTCGCGGAGATGGGGAACCAAGAAATGAAAAAAGCTGTAGGAAGCCCTTATAGGCTACATAGAAGGGGGTAAATGGATAAAAGCAGATGTCACTGGACGACAGGTTGATGGAATAACTGATAAACGATGTAAAAAGCAAAAAGACCGCAAAAATTGACTTCCAACAATCTGGATCGAGTCAGAGATGAAGACGAGAAATGAAACAGATGTGCAAACCAATAAACAATTGGATGTACACAATATTTTCATACTATTGTAAAGCATGAAGGTCAGACCAGGACTGTGTGAAAATCAAATATGGTAGATTGGACGCATGCAGAGTGTAGGCGAGATAAAAATGAGTTGAAACAAGATCTACACTGAGATGCACAGCAGCTAGAGGGAGGAACAGACAGAAGGGGAAAATAAAATAGAGGGAAGGACCGAAAAATGAGCAGAGTACGATGAAGGAAACAACAAGAAGGAAATCAGGCACCGACGCATGGGTCCCAGCTTCTTCAAGAGCGATTACGGCCATTGGTAACACTGAGTTGCAGAAACACGAGCTTCCGGTCTGAACATGTGCATGCAGGACTACTGACAGGAGAGGGAATCAAGTTGCCACCTGCTAGCAACCACATCTGCCCTCCGCAGCCAAGTCAAGGATCTGTGCCGTTGAAGTCTACTCAGAGTGCCCACACGCAATGTAAAAAGGTGTGAAGTGGACTTGTGAAAGGGTCAACAAACATCAACAGTTTAGGCTGGATGAGTCAAAATGGAAGCCAAATTTGAGTATTTTCATAAATTTGCATCTAAATTATGAGTAGATTTTGCATAAAAGCCGTATTCACCATATTTCGTTAGAGGAGATGAAGGAGCGATAGTCGAAGTTGCTTAGTAGTAGGAGTAGGTCCCACAGCACTCATATAAGACCTATGGTAGTCAGTGAGACTATTTGTTGTCGACAAAAAATTCACAATAAAATGATAAGCTTATGCTGGCATTATTCGGCTTAAATAGAACATGTATTAGATGTATCCATCCAATTTCGTTTAGGCTGGTAAGTGATAGTTGAATTTTCCCTCAATGATATGAATTGACATAACAATTCCATTGAATTTCACATAGCCCTTAATCATCCTAAACGAAATAGTATAACTACATAGCATATATATGGTCGTGAAAGCCTACTTATAACTAAAAATAAGTAACGTAGTTGCCTAGCAAGCACAACTTTGCTTCATTAACAATCCCATCACAGAATGTGATATGGGAAAATGCCTGGTCTTGCCTGAAATTCACATCTGCTTTGGGACCAAAGAGCACTCGTGACAATATAGCATAGTGGGTAATGTGTCGAGATTATACACTGCACTTAAATGTTTGAAATCCCATTGAGGGGGCTGATGAGACCCAGAAGAGTTCGAAACTGCAGTCCAGTCCAGCTTGAATGAGAATACCTTTAGGGAAAACAGGACTATGCGAAATTCACTGGAAACCTAAGGTCTACATATATCATTATGGGAAAATTCAACTATCAGTCCCATTATCAGTGGGTAGTGGGGCGTCAGTTCACATGTGACTTGCGATTCACTTGCCCTCGGCAAAATGTATCTCTTTTATGGTTATGATAGGGTTTCCGTTCCCTTTGCGGTGAGGATGGGAATCATAGCTTGTCGAAACATCAGTTTGGCCTGGACAACACAGAGCCGTAGTCGTTAAAGCATATACACTGGTCACAGTAAATGACTTCACAATGTTTTTGTCCATGTGCTTGCCGTTAAACACCAACCTTGGCTTGCCAAATAGATACCAATTTCGAGGAAATGCTTTGGCCGGACCAGTTTTAAACGACTCAACCCAAGATCTGGGCTGAATAAATAAATGCTTTGACAAGTTGTAATATGGTGCTACGAATGGCGAGACTCACTGACGATACCGGCGAAGCGTTCGGAAATGTACCACGTCCAAGGTCCTACTCTGGAAAAGATGATGCAGACAATGGACTCCGGACAAAGTTCGTTCCTCGAAGTCTTCCTACCAATATAACCGAGTTGCGAAAACAAGGTCAAACAACTTCTAAAAAACTTCTAATAAAGTCTACACTTCACTTCACGTGATCACCTCTCCTAATAGACTACTATTTGAAAAGTTAGCAGTCTCGTTTTAAAAGGGTTATATTTAAGAAATGCGCATTTGAATTGATACAAGAGATTGTGTTTAATGCTTGTTTTACCAAATAATAACCGGTAGAACCAATTTTGCTTATTAGTCGTTTTGATGGGACGAACGAGATGGATACATCATTATTGCCGACTAAATCGTGAGCTGATTCATGGTGAACTGAGTTAGTCCAGCATCATCATACCGGGACAGCCTATAGTGAGACCTAGGAGATGAATAAAATCTGCAGACCATATTAATGATAAATTAATTACTCTTTATACTGGAAAAGCAGCCAGAAATTAGTTACAAGAACAAGCTTGCACTATATTCACGAACGTTGATTCATACTTTGCAGGCAATTATTGACGTGCGAAATTAGCCTTGCAATTAGCAATTTTATTTGTCCTAATTATATTGCACATAAAATGGCGCAAGGTGGCTGCTACATACCAACAAACGCTTTAAGAAAGTTTTAAGCCTTTAAGTTCTCCTTTGTAAATTTGTTACTTGAGTCTCTTGTAACTGTCACATAAACCTCGATTAAATAAATTGAAGATGTATTGT